GTGCAAATATAAAAAGCTGCGGTTGCGCGCTGCGTTGCTTGCCTCCTCCAAATCCAGGAGCCGCTCCACCACCGAAGAAGTCCGCCACACCTCGTACTTCACCAGGGGCCCCTGAGGCCCCCGGATCTCCTGGGGCCCCCAGGGATCCTTGTGCGGGGGCCCCCTGGCCATAGGGAGGAGCGCTGGAGCCGTCGAAGCCGCTGAGCCCGGCGAAGCTCATTGTAGATCCTCAGCGGTTCTGTAGCGGCTGCTGTCGTCGCTGTGCTTTGGAGGTAGACGACACCTGCATGCGGGAGGTTTGGAGTGTCTAGGAAGAGAGAAAAGAGTGCTGAGTGCTTGATATCAGGCGTAGGTACCCTAAACTTAAGACGCTAAACCCTTAACACTTGCGGTAAACACGTACCCACCGCCGCTGCACAGAGCCAAGTAGGTCGCAGGACCCCGTTGTGAGCACCGGAGGGGGAAATGTGCTTTATATTGACGGCAGCTCCGTTACTTTTTGTGTATGTTTGCTGCCACTTCACAGACACGAACTCGCAGCTCCAACAAGATATCCATAGGAGACCTGGGGGCCCAGCCTGGTGGGGGCCCCGCCGAAGCCCCACGTGGGGCGATGGTGGTTTANCCATAGGAGACCTGGGGGCCCAGCCTGGTGGGGGCCCCGCCGAAGCCCCACGTGGGGCGATGGTGGTTTACGGGTCGAAGGCGAGTCTCGTTGATATTTCCCAGCCAAAATAATCGACCTTCTGCAGTTTCTTCATTGTATACTACTTCTATAGATGCCCCGCGCTGGGGCAGGGGCACCTGGCCGCCCTGAGTGCGCCCTGTGATGCGGTCGTAGACCGCTTTTCGGAGTCCAGGGCACATATGAGGTCTTCACAGAGGGGAAATGGTTCAAGACAACATATTTGCCCTCCTAACAAGGGGGGCTTCCCTCCACAAGTGCCACGCTTCCCTCGATTCTCCCTTGCTGCAAAAACGCCAACACCGGGAACAGCAGCTGCAGCAGGCTCAGCAGCAAGAGGGATCCCTTGCAGAAGATGGCAGAACGAGGGGACGAGAAGCCTCTGAGAAGCAGTATTCTGCTGAGAGCCTCCGTGCTCGGCACTCTATTGCTGTGAAGGGCCTACCTGTTGTGCCTGCTCCCTTCCTTTCTTTTAGTGACGAGATTCCTCTTGAAACGGGGGCAGCAGAAGCTAAAAAGATACTCTTAGAAGGAGATCAGCAATCCCAAGAAGGGCCTAGGAAGCTCCCTGCTTGGCTCATCTCCCGCCTGCAGACACTCGGCTACAAGCAGCCGACCCCCATTCAGATGCAGGTCAGTCCTC